CTGTGGCTCAGATTCTGTCTCCATTAAATTGAAATGAAGAAAAATGACATACTCAGCTATAAAAAAAAAATCAAGGCATCCTTCTCTGTAAATGAAGAATAAATAATATAGAAGGACAATAGGATATCAAAAGCTGATGTCACAAAGTCAGGCATGTTGAACTAAAATAGGTTTTTATGTTAATGCATACATTATGAATAGCTTGAGAGATGGTTCCATGAAGTAGGTAAAGCATTTGCTGTACAAGCACAAGGACCTGAGATTAGATTTCCAATACCCAAGTGAAAGGCAGAAGTGATGGAGGCAAGAGACTCTAAATCCCAGCACTTCCTGGAGGAGGTAAATTTATCCCTAGAGTTCTCTGGCTAATCAGCTCAGCTGAAACCAAGAAGTTCAGCTTTAGAAGCCTAGACACAATGGTGTGACAGACTTTGATGATTCCCCCATAGAAGGCCTCTCCTTTTCTATGTAGCAAAAGAGGGATGGGATGGGGGTCAGTGGTAGGCATGGGAGAAAGGGAGGTAGAGGGAACTGAGATTCATATATAAAATTAGATTGCTTCTAATTTTAAAAAAGGGGGAAAAAGGAAAAGACTCTCAAGATAAAAGCTAGAGAAGTGGTCAAAGAAAGAATTCACACAAAGATAAATCACACACACACACACACACACACACACACACACACAGGCATGCACTCACGCACTTATGCACGCAAGCACACACATGCACGTGTGTGGAACCAATGTCAGCCAAAGGCCCAGATGTTGGCGAAACACTGAAAATATCAATGTGAAAAGTAATTCGTGCCTTTAAAATTTAACATGCATTTTGGTCAAGGACACTGTAGTATGCTGTGAATATTTGAAAATATTCTCTCCCAATATGATCTTATGTGAAGAATTTACCAAGGATGGGCCTGGTGGGAGGGACAAAAGATGCTGGAGAATAGAATCCTTATTTGTTCTTCTAAAATGTGTTCAACTCGTCTTTTGAGTTTAGATCCTTCATAACTTTGGTAGCTGAACTCATTCTCTCTACACTTTCTTAGCAATGGTATTTTGAATGCATGCCCTCAATTTTATTGTTCCATCTGCTGTGAAAGTGAAACAGTGTTTCTGTGATAATGCACAATGATAGCATCCCTAGATAGACACTGTGGCATTTTCCTCATGGCACTGTGAAAATCTTCACATATCTTTGGCAGGAGGCATAGAGATTTTTAGAAACTACCACTGTTTTATCGTGTTGGAATGTCATCTTTAGCAACCTTTCTTTTCTGTTTTATTGTCCTGAGACATCTTTTTCTTTTTTTCTTCATGCGTATGTACAGTCCATGTACATGTTTATGGGCTGCTGTGTAGAGTATACATGCGTGTTTGGATATGTTTGGAGTTCTGAAGTTGATGTGAGGCAGGTTTCTGGCTTGCTGTCCATTTTTAGTACTGAGTTGGGGGTCTCTCACTGAGTCTCCAGTGCCTTGCCCTACTGCTTCCCAAGTTCTGGAATTACTCCAGATAGTCATGAGTATTTGTCTGTTATAGGGGTTCTAGGGACCAAAGCTCTGGTTGTCACACTTGAGTGGAAAGTGTTTTATCCATTGAGCAATTTCCCCAGCCCCTATAAGGTTTTATTTGATGTTTTCTTTTTGCTTTTAAGAAGCTCATAAAGCTTTTTTTTTATCTGATATAATAAATTTTCATATCCCTATATATACAGAAAATAACATTCTTTTTCCAAATATTTATAAAACGCCAGAAATAATTACTAATTTGCTAAAATAGGATGCCTATAAGGGTAGTAGCCATGAAATATAGATATCATGTCTATGTGACATCTAGGGCTTAGGAAGAGAGGACTCAATTGAGGCTCTAGAATCTCTTACTTCTCATTACCCCAGACCCTTACCCCATTCGCTCTTCCACAAAGTTACCTGGATGAGCATTGTATCCCACTCTTCTCACAGCTGACTCCATCCTCTGATGCCACTATCACTTTGAACATCTAGCACAATCTCCTTCCTAGATAGGACATCTTATGGTATATCTCCAGTTTTCTTTTCAGCCATATCTTATGTCAGACCCCTATATGGCCCATGTTTCATAATCCACAAAGGCAAATATAATTTAAAATTTTGTTAAACTCCCACAATTCCCAGGAAAGCACTATAGGCAAGAGGTCCAAAGATACCAATCAGATACTATTAGTCAGAGACACATAAACCATGTGAGGTACTGGAGATAGTGTGAATGCAAGTTATTCTCACCATATGAAGGACTGAATTTCATCGTAGTGGGGAAGGCATGGTAGTAGAAACATGGTTACACATCTACAGTTAGGAAGCAATGGAAGACAAATGCAGTTGCTCAGCTTGCTTTCACCTTCCTATAAACATTGGGACCCCAACCTATATGGCAGATGGAACTACCCATATTCAGCATGGACCTTCCAAACTTTTAAACAAACCTATGAATAATCCCCCACAGACATACACAGGGTATGTTTCAACCATGATTCCAAATCCATGCAAGTTGAAGATCAAGATCAACCATCACAGCAATACAGCTCAGACTTTATCAGGTGTGACAACAAAAAATGACAGTGCTATAGTTTGTGTCTTCAGTGTCCCCCTATCTTAGCCACCTTTCTATCATCATACTAAGACACCATGACCAAGGAGACTTACAGGAAAAAAAAAAGAAAAAAGAAAAAGAAAGAGTTTCTTTTAGGCTTACAATTTCAGAGGGTGGGTCTATGACCACCATGGTGAGAAGCATGACAGCAGGCAGGCAGGCAGTCATGGTGCTGGAGCAGTAGCTTAGATCTACAAGTAAGATGCAGGGAACTAACTGGGAAAGGCCTGAGCTATTTGAAATCTCAAATCAAATCTTACCCTAATGCTGCTTCCCACAAGGTCATACCACTTAAACATACCACTGATTGGTGGACAAGTATTCAAATGAGCCCTGGGGAGAGAATTTTTATTCAAACGAACAAATCCCCAAAGGTCTAAATAGTAAACTTAAGTCCTCAGGGGTGGTGCTCTTGAAAAGTGACAAAAAAACAAAAACAAAAACACAAAAACAAACAAACCACCACAACAAACAACAACAAATTATAATAAGAAACCCCTATTAGGACACTTAAAGGTTACTTTGAGTGTGCCCATTAAGAGAAATTTAGGACACCAGGCATCCCCATCTTTCATTTGCCTACAAGCAAGCTTCCACCATAATTCCACCATAGTGTTCTCATCCAAGACCCCAAACAAAGAGAAGAATCAAACCCTGACTGAAACCTCTATACCCATGAACTGTAATAAACCCACTCTCTCTATATGTTATCTCTGGTAACATTTCTTATGGTGAAAGAGGAGCAATAAGCACATATAGATTCTGTGCCAAATTAATATTCAGGAAATATCTGTTGGTAAATAGAAGCTAGTCATTCAAATAGTATGATCATGACTAAACTCCAGGGGAGCAGAGAGTCTTCCTAGTGTCTTGTAAACAGGAAAATGTTGAACAGAATATGATGAGTTCAGTAAGGTGGGAGTGTAGAATCCTTCAGGAGTCATTAGGTAACTGCCTCACTGAATGTGCCCTTTCTTCTTCAGTCCACATTTCTTACTTCTCACTGTCAACCCAGTTAATTCTCAGGCATCACTTACTGCATTACCTTATATAAGAAGTCCTCTCAAGCACTGCATCAAAAGATACAGAATAATGTTCACTCGAACTGCTTTACTTGCTGCCCCAGAGAACAAAGCAGTTTCCATAGTCTGCTCTCATTAGCTTCTTTCTCACTACTTCACCCAAATCTGGACACTTTGAGAGACCGAACATGAGATTTCCCCCATTTTCTGTGTATTTGATTTTTAGCCCAGTACACATTTGTTTTCAGTAAAATGGGGAAGAGATATTTAAAAAAAATCTATCTATTATTATTGTAGCACATCTGTAAATTCAGTGGCATATTTTGTAAGATAGTTGATCAGCTCTGGGCATGTATTAGGAAAATAAATTAACAGAGGTGACCCATGGGATTGTTATCTACACAAGATAACATAGAAAAAGACCAGTGACAGATAGAGGCACAACCTGATTTGTTGCAGAAAATCTACACAGATGCTGTAGCCTTATGGAGAGAATAATTAATATTGGAACAGAGAGAAAATAGGAAGAAGGGAAAATATTTGGTTCCTCTGAGTAAGAAGATGGGGTTCAGTGTGATATTAAAATCATACTTGAAGAAGTCTTTGGAGACATGACTTATCAGAAAGGAAACAGAAAACAGGCTATCAGCAGAGGAGTACATTCTTTCTTTGTTCAGTGTTTCCATTTAGACTGAACCTTTCTTTGCACATTAAGAAAAAAATTAATTGTATCCAATATATTCAGTTACATTATGGGAACACCAAATAATATCATTTCCTATTAATGCTCCCCTAAAGGTCTTAATAGCACAGAAGGAAAAATTAAAATGGGAGGTGGCAGAAATGTAGGAAAGCAAGGGAATAACAAGAAAGGGAGGCAACATTTGCGTCTGCAAAGGGTCACTTCCTTATACCCACAGCCTCTGAAGGGATCACAAGAGGTAACAGGAATGCTATCCTTATGGTTGTCATGCTAAGAAGCAAAGGGTAAATTACAAAGGGAAAATATTCTTTCTAAAAATGCAGTGTAACTGCACACATACTTGGATGTATTATTGTTTCACTTCTTAGCGGTGGTGATGATTTCTTCTCAGAAAGCTCTTCAGAGTGAGAAAAGAATCTATGCTAATTGCAACATTATCATGAAATAATATAATCTCTGCAAAAGAGGGCTGTCAACAAAGGGAACAGAGCAGGTGTACAGCTTCATTTGCAACCCATTGCTCCACTCTGGAAAATACAGTCTATAAATCCTGTACAAAGATGATACTCCCAAAAGACCTGAGTTTGGGTTATCCAACAGCATGTCGCCCCCTCTTCACACATTCCACTGCTGACAAAGCACATACCTTCCACTGTTGCTCTCTTAGGCTGGATGGTGATGGCTCCTTCTGCAATATCTTCATGTTGATGCAGTGGGTTGATTTTGGATCCCCAGCTGTCTGACCCCACCCAGAGAAAATGGCCCACTTGGTCAGCTCTTTTGGCTGCTGCTAGGATCTGCCTATGGAAAGGAACACACACAAAAAAAACCATGTAGGTGTAAAAGCTGAATATGAGCATCTTCAAACTCAAATAGAGCCAAAAGGAGCTCTGCAGTATCAAAACATAAGCAACCAATAGCAAAGGCTATAAGGATTTGTATACTGCATATGTAAAGGAATTCTTTTTATTTTTGTTGGGTTTTTTGTATTTATTATTTTTTCTTATTTCACGTATCAATCCCAGTTCCCTCCCTCCTGTTGCATCCCCCCACCTCCACAGAGAGGGTGATGCCTTCCAGGAGGGATCATCAAAATCTGTCAAGTCATTTGGAGTAGGGTCTAGGCCCTCCCTCCTGCCTCTAGGCTAAGGGAGTATCCCTCCATGAAGAAAGTGCATCCAAAGTTCTTTTGTGCACCAGGGTCACATCCTGGTTCCACTGTCAGAGGTACCTTAGACTATCCAGGTCTTCTAACTGAGACCCATGTTCAGAGGGTCTAAGTAGGTACAATGCTGGTTTCCCAGCTATCAGTCTGGGGGTCCATGAGATCCCCTTTGTTCAGGTCAGCTGTCTCTGTGGTTTTTTGTAGCCTAGTCTTGACCCCTTTTCTTATCAGTTCTCCCTCTCTGCAACTGGACTCCAGGAGTTCAGCTCAGTGTTTAGCTGTGGGTGTCTGCTTCTGTTTCTATCAGCTACTAGATGAGGGCTCTAGGATGGCATATAAGTTAGTTATCAATCTCATTATCAGGAAAAGGCATTTCAGGTAGCCTCTCCACTGTTGCTCAGATTGTTAGTTGGGGTCATCCTTGTAGGTCTCTGGACATATCCCTAGTGCCAAATTTCTTCTTAAATCTATAATGGCTCATTCTATTATGGTATCTCTTTTCTTCTTCTCATCTATTCATCCCCGACTCAGTTTTCCTAGTCGCACATGTTCTCCAATAATAATGTCAAAGCTTTTTGAGTAAAACAAGTGAAAGGTGTTTGAAGTCAAAGGCTAAAGGAGAGTGAAACATGCAACAAACTGGAGATGCATATAGACAAGTATTAGAAACTGTAAAAGAACAGCTTAGAAAAAGGTTCTAAATGCCTTTCTCAAAATGGTCAAATAAATTCTTATTTTACTTCATTTTGTGTCATTGGGCTTCAAGTGGAGAGGTGAAATAGTAGTAAATCTCACTTCTAGAAAGTACCATGTCTATGTAGATCATAGTTCTCCAATCATTTATTAAAATAAACAGAATTCTACTTTCAACATAAATGTTCATTTACTGTCTATAGATGAATATAGTTTGCAAACATCAAAAGAAACAACAGAAAAAGTATGCAAAAGAAAAATGGTATTAATGAGAAAGTTATCATATTTGCAAAAGAATTGAAAAATGAGAGATGTACACATACACACATATATCCACACACATATACACACCTACATACTTATATACAAATACAGATACAACTATACCAACAAAAAAACAAGCCTCCCCCCCCACACAAATTCTCATCATTCGAGACTTTCAAAGTTCAGGTACCACATAGGTTCAGAAGTAAATCAATAAAGATGTGTTTATAGAAATCATGTGAGATAGTAAAACCTCAGATCACATTTTCTCTCTCCTAGATCAAAAAAAAATGGACTGGTAATTTTCTAATAAAATCATAAGAAACTGTTCCAGAATAGTGTGAACATACAAGCAACAAAAGGCAAAGGAGAAATTGTTATGTAAAGCAAGGAAAAAAGTAGGAATGAAATGGTATGTACCTGTGTATTAAGTAATGAAAGGCAAGGGTACTTAAAGGGACTAAACATCTACTGAAAACACAAAAGGCATATTAGAATGAAAATGTATCCTGGATTTTTATCAAAAGATCTACAAATTTTACATAAAGGGATTGGTTAATACAACAGCCACTTCTATACCTGCTCAGACTCCCATCAATTGATAAGCCCATGCCTACAGTTTCTAAGTACCTATTCCAATTCTCCACAGATGCACAAGACCCCAGTGAAAAACAGAAAAAATTAACAAGGAAAGGGACACCAATGTAGAGTGAAGAAAAGATGAGACAGGAGAAATTACAAAATAACATGTTCATTTAGCTAAGGTATATAACAAAACCAACAGCAAGATATGCAAAAAACTAAGAACTTGTATATTGAAATGAAAACTTGCATTTACTTTTGAGAAAAGAAAGCTAAAAAAAGCCTAAACTAAATATTAAAAAATAAGAATGCTAGAATAAGTAGAAGAGTAATGCAGTCAATATTTCCTGAACAAATGTGTGGAAAAATAAAATTATTTTAAACAGTAGCATTTAACTATTGTTAAGACATTTCCAAAGATCATTTCATAGTTTATAAACTATTTACCAATTAACTGATAAATTGAGAAGGTGAATTTGTGAATTAAAAAAGCTAAATTTTTGTAAAAACATTACAAATGTACTATTGGAAATAATAAAAGTATCATATAAAGCTGAGAGGGACTCAGAAGAAAAAAGAAAAGATCCAATTAATTTCTTAAAAGGGAAACAAGGATAAGAATAATAACACAATAATAAAATGTCTAAGAAAATATTTTAATTCAGAATTATAATATTTAACGTATAATGAAACCCAATGCAAAGAGAATTTTCACATATTCCCAATGGCACTTGTGATTTCTTTTCCATTGTAAAGTGACACTGTCACATGTTATACAAACTAAGAATTCCCCAACTCATAAGTAATCAACACTGCTTACTGAATCATTTCAGGGGCAATAATCGTTTTAATAAATATGAGACATAATGTCAACATGCCAACTATTAATTATGGAAATCAGAATAAGAAATAAGGACAGTTTTAGGCATCAAATACACAGAGAAGATTTTTAAATAAAAATGATATATTCATTTTGACTAATGTGCATACCTTTATGAAATTAAGTACACTGCATGCATGCAGATGCCCCCAGAGGCCAGAATAGTGTGTCAGATCTCCTGGAGCTGCAGCAACAGGAAATTTTGTGCTGTGGGATGTGCACACCTGATACTCTGCAAGAGCAGTAAGTGCCCTTAAACAATGAGCTATAATCTTTCCACCCCTGATATATGTTTTCCTGGTTTATTCTTTTAAAATAAGTTATTCAGGAATGCACTCTAACCATAAGAAGGGGGTAAAGCAGAATAAAACTCTTTTGTGAAGAAGGAGGAGCCAGGGAAGAAGAAAGAAAACATGGAGGCAAAATGTTACCAACATATAATGAATGATGGAGTTCTCAGAAGGGTGTGTCCAAAAGCATCTAAGACTGAGAACCTTGATTTATGAACCTAGGGAAAAATGGATGCATCTGTAATATCAACTGTAATAGCAAAATATTAAAAATAACTAAATAATCAAAACAACTAAATGAAACTTATCACATTAACTTTAGCTAAAACAAAAAGTACATCACTGAGACAAAAGAATAATTGCTTGATTCTACAAAGTTTGTCATTTGAATATTAATAGTATAAACACTAATTTTAATATACTAGAAATATGGCCTGAGGATGTTGAAACCTTTGAAGTGATTTATATAACTTAAATCATTTCAGATGTAAATGAGTAGACAGTACAGGAAACCAATAATTCTAACTTTGCCAGTCTGACCATTATGTAGATATAACCAGAAGAGTATGAACAATGGGGAGTTCATGGACTCCAGTCTGATATCTGGAAAACCAGCGTAGGACCAACCTAGACTCCCTGAATGGTGTGTGGTGTTAGTTGGGAGGGCTGGGCAGTCTATGGGGCCTCTGGTAGTGGATTGGTATTTATACCTAGTACACATGGACTTTGGGAGCCCATTCCACATAGAGAGATACTCGCTTAGCCTAGACACATGGGGAAGGGCCTAGGCCCTGCTCCAAATGATATGACAGACTTTGAAGACTCCCCATGGAAGGCCTCACTCTCCTTGGGGAGCAGAAAGGGGGTGGGATGGGGGTTGGTGGAGGGAACAGAGGTGGAAGGGAGACTACATGAACTAGGAATGACATGTAAAACAAGCTTGTTTCAAATTTAAATTTAAAAACTATAAAAAAGGAAGAGTTGAAATAACTTCCCAAAAGAACAGAGCTGGAGATTACAGAGGTCATTAGTGTGTTTTGACATGGTTTGTAATTAAATACACAGGACTGGTGAGGTGGCTCAAAGGTACTTGGCACTAAACCTAAGGACCTGAGTTCAATTCTTGATATTTACAAAATAGACGAGACATCTGACTCCCACAGAAGTTGTTCTTTGTCCTTGTGATTTTATGTACACGTGTGTGCACACACAATAAATAGTATTAAAAATAATTACATATATATATATATATATATATATATATATTTCCTAAAAGAGAGTGATATGGTTGTCAATAAAATATACTCAGTGTGTATCAAAGTCTTTAGTTAAAAACACAAAAGCAACAATTTTTAAAACTATGAATTTTTTCAATTACTATATGATGAAAACTGGCCAATATAGACATATGTGTATTATGTATTTGTGTGTGTGTGTATGTGAACATACACATATGGTTTGAATGCACAGTTATATTAGATTATAGCAAGGAGAAGTTGATAATTCATTACTAAAACATTTGGAGATGTGATGACAGAGGTGGGAAAGTTAAAAAGAAATCAAGAAAACAGGGTAAGACCAGATACATATAAATAAGTGAGTACTAATTTGAATTTTGGACAGTGACTAAATTCTACTGTGAGTCACAAAGGGTACATCTAGACTCTGTGTAATTTCCATACTACAGGAAAAATCTAGAATACATATACAAGTTTCTTGCAAATATTAAACTGTGTTTAACTAGACTCTGTCTTTGAATACGAAGCTACAGGATTTATAAACGATGATTTAACTTATCACTTGTAGTCATTTACTTCAACTTTTAATTATTCCATTGAGTTGGAGGCATAAAATTTGCAGTATTATTTTATTTAAAAAAAAATCTGTTTCTTACTTCCTAAGAGATTTACAATAGGTACATGTTACTTTTCTTTGCAGAATTATATTTTGAAGGCAGATGTTGTTTTTCCTTTATCCAAAATATCAATAGTCAGGATCAATTTGGCATTTAGCATCCCTTCAAAATTGAGATATTAGTGCCATCTTATTTTTGTTCTCAAAACTATTTGAAGTTAATGATGCAGGAAATGTCAAATTTTTTAATCTCCAAAGTACAGTTTTGAAAGAGAATCAACATTGTGGAAATTCTTCAATCTTTAGATGGTTCTGCCTTTAAGATCACATTCTAGTGTGCAGTAGACTTTTTATTACTGGGCTCAGAAATCAAGATGCTAACATATATATTGCAACACAGAATAATATTCAATATATAAAGTAACTCTATTATAAAAAATATGCATACTTTCTGAGGGTATTATGTATATTTTCTACCCAAATTATAAGCCACACACTATAGGACAAAAGTTTTATCATTTTAATCACAAAACTATCATTTTAAAAACTCAACATCGACATACACTACTAATGATTCACATATTAATAAATGCATAAATTAGGCAAGAAAAGACTTATGAAATGATTGACAAAGATATACCAACATCAGGGGGAAACTGGAGGTTAAAGACCAATATGATGAAAACAAAACCTCACAAGTAACTAAAACACAAAGAAGAATAAGACAGCCCAAGAGTGATGCAAAAAGCATTGTTCTAGGAGAGAAATAGTGTATTTAATCATCAAACAAAACATTTTCCCAGAGAAGGGCATACATGAAAGAAAACTTGAAATAGACAAAGCAGATTTTAGTAAAAGAATGTCTTAAGCAAAAGATATGAAGAAGCACCAGCACCCAGAATATTCTAGTAGATTTAGATCAAAATATTTAGGTTGACAACTATATATGTGGTAAGATCTAAAATGATAAATCCTGAAGCAAGACTTAACCTTATTTTAGCCCCATACCTACAATCCTAGCAATTAGAGGAAGAGGCAGGAGGATCATGAGTTAGAGGCCAACTTGGGTTATAAACAAAACCTTGGAGTTGGAGAGGAAGGGAGAGAGAGGCACGAGGGAGAACAAGCAAATTAACAAAAATTCCAATTATAAAGTCCAGGTGTGTGGGGAAAACTTTTACATATCATTAAGTATTGAGTGTTAGACTCAGAATTTCATTCATTCACTCAATAGCATTGGTTGAGCACCGCATATTTTCTTAGTATCAGGACTGTTAGTAAGGATTAAAACACCATTTAAAACTCATCTGGTTCAAGGCTAGAGACATAGGGCAACACACTTATGTGAACCATTCAACAATTATAGCAACAGCAATAACAGATGATGCCACTAGCATAAGTTAAAAAAAATCAAAGTATTATAAGAAGAATTTTCCAGAAATACTCTGGTCAGAGAAATCTTCTTTGAAATGCACCAGAAACTCTGAAAACATGTAGGAAGAAGGGGACAGAAACAGCCTCCTGTCCACCTGTGTGTACAGCATTGAGTGTTTGAGAGAAATTAGACTAGAAGCCCTCTCACAGGACAGCTTTAGAAGACCTTCATTTCACTGATTGGAGAACTGACTTGCAAAGAAAATGGGAGCTAGGGGAAGACACATTTTCAAGGAGAGAGTGGTGATGTATGTAGTAAATATATTCTCTAATTCCATTTTACATATAATGATCCTGGGCCTTCATTTCTTGTCAAGGCCTTCATATTGGAATGCTGGAGAGATTCAGGGTTAGGGAGGACACTTGGACCAGGGAGAAGGAATGAAGTCTTCTGAGAGTGACCTTGAAAAATTCTAAGGAAGAAATTATCATGATCTGAACCCTTCAATTTTAAATTTTACAGAATGAAAATAATTTACCTTAAAATTCAATGACACAGAATTTTAAAATATTAGGTAATGATTTAAAACACAATTCTGCCACACCAGGCAAGTGTAAACTATCACATTTCTAGATGATTGTATTGATGGCCCTTTTAAGGAAAGGACAGATCTTCCTAGAATCTACTTTATAAAACCTTACAATTTAAACACACTTAGAACATACAAAATAATTAATCTGTGATTGAAGGTCAAAAGAGGACATATAAATTTTTTATATGTATTTATTAATTTTTCTTATTTTATATATTTATCTGACAGATTTTGATGATCCCTCCTGGAAGGACATGTAAAATATTATGTTTATTCTGGATATATTAGTCTGATGTGGTCACATATTGCATAGTATACCACATAGCATTAATATTTATTCCCATAGTTATAATTCATCACACATATTCTGTACAGGATCTTTGCTATTGTATTTTTTTTAATAACTGTAGTGAAAGATGAAATTGTCAATCCACAAGGGAGAAGCTAAGTAAAATGTAGTACATGGGTAAAATAAAATTATGTGTACAGATTAAAAAACTACACAGATCCACAACCACTGATAAATGAGGTTCTTTGTTATGAAATGCTAAGGCATGCTAGGTCAAGAGCAGAAGCATACAGTACACCTAAAGGATACTTAAAATGGATTGGGAGCATGGTACAGATTGTTTTCAGAATAATGCATCAGAGACTGAGAAGCCAGGAGCCCTGCTACCCACAAGGGGGAATGTGTTAGCTTGGATACAGGGAGCAAGACATTTTATTTTGAGGTTTGGACAATGTTAGAAAAAAATTAGCCTTCTCAAACAAGCACAAATTACTATTTATCTTTAAAAAGACAAAAATAAAGATACTGGACTGGGTTACAGAAAATGAAGCACGGGGCACTTAAATTCTAGAAGAGATTAGATGGGTAGCTCTGCATGCTACAGCTACAAATTCAAGGAGCTATGTATGTGGGGTGGTGGTGGGGAGTTAAAATGACAAGTAGGGAGTGGAGGAAATCAATGCAGATGGAAGTAAATAAAAGGTGGGTGCAGAATGTGGTTGGTCAACAACTGTGTTCTGGGTTTCAATTCTGAACAATAAAGCCAGAATTATAAACCTTTTGTCTTTTACACTAACACAAACACCATTCTTAAGATAAAAGCCTGCACTACTTAGATCTGTCTTTCATAATATAATGTTTCAAAGGTCTAGTACTTTTTCCTTCTACCAATAATTCATTGTGCTTTGTTTTTAATAGAAATGAAAACTATGGAACAGCAAGGTGCTACTGCTTCTGTGGCTGACAAACTGTGTAGGGAAGGCAAGCATGGGTTAATTACCACCTTGTAATTACAGCTATGATCTGACTTTTATTTCTCCTCTCCTTGCCAGCATCCTCATTCTTCTACCTCCTAAAGTTGTGACATGCATAGGAACAAGGTTCACCAGTCATCCTTACTTTATATCCTCATCGTTGGCAAAAATCACGACGGCCCTGGAGTTGGGGGTGTCCAAGAGCTGTTTGATAATTCTATCAAAGTCAATGGTCCTGTCTTTGCGCTCTTGGGGTATTCTCACGGACTGGGCAATGCAGAGCCCACCTGTTCAAGAAAAGAAAGCAGAGTGTCAATAAAGTCCCAATGGAGGTAGCAAAGGGACAGGGGAGATAGTGTCAGGGCTATTGATACTGAGTCTGATAGAGTTGCTTGTGTTTCAGGAAGTCATAAGGCATCATGCTTATTTTTGAACTATTCTTTCAAACCATGTAGTAAAACAGAGCCTTACTCTCTGTAATGCATTTGAAATATTAGTACTTTCCAGGAAAGCTAGGGATATTAACTTTGAGAACGCAGATAAAGGATGGTAGATGAAGGTCTTTACAATGCATGCTATATGTTATGTTGAAGTAATAGACACTAAAGCAACTGGTCTTAATGTTTATGCCTGAAAGTTTTCTGAACTTTGATTTCCAAGACAATTCTTTTCTCCAACAACACGGGACTCTCAGCTTTTAAAGATCAGCTCCAAAGAAATAAAATGAAAAGCAAAGGAATCAACAAGATCACCAGCTATTACAAACATAGTTTTTTAGATCATGTATGATTGGCCAAAACACTGAAAATTTGTTTCAATTATTCCATGCTATCTTTCCAGAAACCATGTAATATTACAGTAACTAGTGTCCCTGCTTTTTGTTAGAGAACAATAAGATTAAAGAGATTTTTGACTCCATGCTTTTCAGAGTCTTCATGTTACAGATTGATTTTAATGAATGCCTGGAGGAGAAATGGGGGTAGGGGTAGTTTATTGAACAATTGATGAACTTCATCTTACTCCAACTCTTGCTTAGCCATTTCGCCTGTAATTTACAAGAAGAATGTACAAACAGGTGAGCGAAGGTAAAAGAAGTAAAGAGTATATTTGTAGAAAAAAAATGTGAAGACCATCTCAGGAATAGAACACTTAAGTGGGAATGAGAAAAACACCTTGCTGCTCCTGTTACACACCAGGGAGACATCAAAAATAGATTTTCTTACACTTAGAACATGGGCATGTATGAGGGTAAATAGGCTGCCACAAATACAGAAAAGCATAACCCTGTTTCCAAATTTAGACTTTAATCTCAGTTGGTATTAGTGCTATGCAAACCTGCTTTTCAACTTCAGTCCTCAAGAAAATACCTATGATATTCCTCAATATACAGATAGCCTGCAATGTTGTAATTAGGTGAATCAACCTTGCTGAATTTTCTAGAACCATATGTACAAGAATAGTAGACACTCCTTTCAAGTGCAACAGAAAGGTTAATTAAGAGGAACCATATCCTGACCTTAAAGAAAATGGAAATGAAAAATCACAGAAATCATAAAAATTATAATCTTGGATCTTAAATTAGAAATCACTAAAAAAAATCATAAAAAGATCCAAATATTTACAAGTTTAACAAAAGACTCATCACATTTACCCCTGGGTCAAATAGAAAATGTCCAAGGAAATCAACAGATAATAATTGAAATGGCAGTTAGATGGAAAATATATTTATACTAGAAAGTAAGGAAGAATTGACATAAACAAACTCTGTTCTCAAAGACAGGATATGTGAATAAATAGCAAGAAAGTGGAGATATGATGAAAATTAAAACAAAAATCAACAGATATGAAATGGAGAAACAACCAAGAGAAACAGTAAAATATCATTATTGGAATGCTCAATAAAATTTGATAAATCTTAAGCAAGGATGACCAAGGAGAGAAACTGCAAAAACTATATAAGGGATAAAATAGAAATAATGTTGTACCTCCTATTCATGGATTAAATGAACTTTTATATTTTTAAACTCTGAAACATCAAGGAGATAGAAAATTTTTTGAAATATACAAATTATAAAAGCTGGATGAAAAAAACTGATCATTTGAATAATCCCAAATCATATGCATGATTTCACATAAATTATAAACAGCAATACTTTCATCAAAGAAACATATCAGCTCAAATACTTTTATTATTGAGTTCCAAAAATCCTGAAGGAAGATATGAAGTCATCTACATAAACTGCATCAAGAGCAAGGAAATTGAGGCTTAAATTGTTACCTGAAGTCAATATCATATAATACTACCAGAATCAGTAAAAAATATGCAGACATTTTAAACCACAAAAAGAGACTCCCATGAGTAAATTAGGTTGCAGACTGATTTTGACTGCTAGATGGCCTTAGCTGTCAGTCTGAGCTACTGACACTGTTTCAGTTCCCCTCTCACCAAGCATCGAAGCATCATAGAGCCATGCAGTAAGGAGCAATGGGCTCACATGCTATCCTAATTTTGAGAATAAAAAGTTAGCTACAAGCCTGGCTTCATGGCATGAAGAACTTGTTCATCATGAGTGACAAGAAAAACAAACAAACAAACAAAACAGGAAGGAAGGAAAATAATAATATTCCTAGGTAAGGCAGATGTAGTAGGAAGGCAAAGACGCCAAGTTTATCAGTCAACAGGACATCTTGATTCTGCCTCTAAAGATATGGCCAGTATGAGTGTCTAAAGGCAGCTTCCATCATTAAAATAGAAGATACTACAAGGTATCAACTAGTACACAGCTGTTGTTTCAGTCTTCTAATCTTGCCCCATCATTACTCATGTGATTCCATGTTATGTTCCACAGTTCAACTGCTTGCTGAAGCCTCAATAAGTTTGTGCTAAAGTTTGAAGGCAAATGCCAAGATTAAATACAGTAAGTGAAGCAAGATAAAATGATAGGCTAGGCCAGATTTCTCTCTGTGATAAATATCTGAATTTGATTTACTTTATTAAGGGTGGGCAAGGACAGGGCTCCATTAGAGTAATTGATTCACCACATGGTCTATACAACCAACAGTAAACTGCTACATCAATTCAAGTAGATTCAGGAGTATAAAACTGTGTTACGAGTAGGTTTCTCACCAGCCTGGTTCCACTGCCTTGTCAGCCCCAAATAACAGAGACAACTGTATTAGATATAAGGCTGTTAGCCTGTTACTAGCATTTCTTATTAGCTATCTCTGTCTTAAATATTAACCCATTTCTATTAATCTAAGTATTTCCATGTGGTCTTATCTTACTGGAGAAAGGGCCTGGACCTCTGTTCTCTCTCTGTCCTACATGATGAATCTCCTCACTACTTCTTCCTCTCCCCTTCTTGTCTCTTAGTCCCACCTATCTTGCTTTCCTAATGGCCAAAAGTACTTTATTCATTAACCGATATGAAAAACATATTTACCGAATGACATCTCCCATCATCTCCTCTTTTCTGTCTAAATAAAAAAGGGCTTTAACCTTAACATAGAAAACAATATAACAAAATAATTATCAAATAAGAACCATAGTTAACAATGTTAAGTATACTAACATTTAGCAAGATTTAAAGAAAATATTTTATTATCTATCCTATCTTTGTGAGTCTAAAGTCCTATATGTCACTTACCTTCAATCCTAACTAAGGAAAACTATAACCATAACTATCTGTCTTCAACTCCTTCAAAGATCACAGAAGGATAATTTATAAACTCTAGATTTGACAGAGACAACTCACTGCCTGGTCAGTCACCCAAAGTTCTTCTGTAATGTCCTAACATAAGCTTATAGGCCACAGTATGTCTGGCAGACTCCTCAGTAAAGCAGGAAACTTTAAACTGTCCCCCTGTATTGGCAGTTTGTCAGTCACTTTTCTCTGTGTGCTATAGACTGTCTGGGAGATTCTTCCATGAAGCAGGACCTGTAAACTGTCTATCTTGTATCAGCATTCATTTTTCTGTGGGTCCTGCATGACCAGTTTATCCATCATAAAGTCAAACAGTCCATACAAGAGCAGTATCTTGCCCAAATGGCTATTCTTGTCATATTGAAGCAAACTTCATAACGAGTTTCTTTGAAGTTCATCTTCCTTTCTAACGCGGGTGGTTTTGCCAGGAGCAGTTGTGCCTCACTGTCAAGAAAACCCTAAAAAATTTTAAATGCCATATTCTGTAGGTCTTTGAAAGGTTTGAAGAAGGCCTATTCATCTCAAATGCATCTCTATATATCTAGAAAACCTGACCATCTAGCTCTAAGTTTTGACTATTATATGTAATATACATATCACAAAATTGAGCTTAAATTTGTATCAATAAATGAAAATGCATTCCAAAACAAAGTATTCATTTCTATACCACAATCCCCTTTTTATCTTAAGAAGAGATTGGTTGTGAATATTAATCATTTATAACCAACCATATATAAATGAAAACAAACATTTATAGACAATATTTGGGAATTTGGGTGTTGTTCTTTCTAAACTGCTTCCTGCTGGTAGGGGTGCTATCAAGAGATCCTAAGAAGATGCAGAAATCCTGGCTGTAGTGGTCTACAAGGCTGCCTTGTCCAAGATGATGTGAATGGTGGATCACCTGGACACTACTTCAGGGGGTCTTGTTTGATCAAACAATGTTAGTCTGGAAGAAATACACAGCTTTTCATTTTCTGTGGAAACAAAAATAAAATTCCTATTCCACAGTATCCTGTCCTTAAACTAAATTTTGGAGTCAAAGCATTTTTAAAATATATAAATTGGATTAATCTAGCATCATTGATAATCAATTATATTGTAGCAATTATTTCTTCCTTAGAAATTGAGGAATTTAAAGACAACACCATAGTATATAGTATCCAAACTCTCTGTGTGTTTCCATCGTTACATGGCTTTTTTATTATTCTATTTCTTATACTTCTATTTTTTATTTATTGAGACAGAGTTCCTCTGTGTAACTGTGGCTGCCCTGGAATTTACTCTGTACACCAGGTTCATTTTGAAATCATCAAGATCCGCTTGCTTCTACCTCTCAAGTGCTAGAATTAAAGGCATGTGCCACCAATGCTCTAGCTACTCTCTTTCTATTTTTTTTTAAACCAGCTATTCATACATACCATTGAATTGTTAGTAGTGCTTCTTTAAAGCTGTGAGGCGTTTTGCTTATGCTGAGTCAGGAAACCTCCCTTAAAGGAGCAGCTCAAATCTCTGCTTGTCTTTAGTAAAACAGAGTCCAACTGAGAACAGAAGCCTTGCTTGTTTTCATTCTTTTATTTCTA